CTCCCTCCCTCCCTCCCTCCATTTTTCTGATTTGTTCTCATTCATTCATCCATTCCCATTCCATTCCAACCAGTTATCCAGCCATTATCCATTTTGCTAGCTTTACCTAATGACCATTAATAACCATATTTTTTATTTTCTCGTTAGCCATATAGGTGAAGAAGATGGTCAAGGGTTTTGCCTTTCCATGTTATACTACTGAACATGATATCTGGATGAGGTTCGTTAGGTAAGTCGATGGCAGAAATAAAGGCAATACTCAGCCGTTAGACAAATTAATACTTGTTTTAGAAAGCATGACCGGCATGACGGGTGAGAGGGCTCGCCTCTCACTAATGCGACCCAGGTTCGATCCTCCCACTCGTGGTATGTGAGTCAGTACAGTTGCTGGTCCTGTCATTTCAATGGTTTCCCCCGAGTTCTCCAATTTTCCTCCCTCTGTAAAATCACCTTATAAATTCTAATTCGATCTAGAAGGGCCTAGATAAAATAATACTGTGTAATTCTAGAAACCTACCAAATATCTTTTTAAATGCGTAATTTTTTTTAGATTTTAATTGTGAAGTTTTTTAGTTTGTTTTTTTTTTACTACTAATGACTTTACTTTAAACCTTCATGTCAAAGAAGAACGCAAGTATTTCATTTGTCAGATCGTAAATTGATATTTGATTGTGCTTTTATATCAGTACACTAACAACGGACTGGTCTTTTCCAAGTCAATTACCGTTGATATTCAATACCATCAATATCATCATGATCTCCAGGTACTGCGGGGCCGACGCGCCTGAAATTTCAATCCAAGCCGATCGCAGGGTTTAAAAGTTTATAATAGCTTCAAAGCAAACAGCACAGGATAACAAGCTACACCGTACCTAGGGTGAGTTTTAAGTACGATTTATTTAGTAATTAATTTTATTAAATATCAAAAATTATTATCTCTTACAATGTAGTAATATACAAAACATTTTCACTTAATGCCTTGCAAAAGCCATGGTCTAGCTGATAACTCAAGTTGTAATATAAAATTTACAACAAGTTTAGTTTAGTTAAATACTCCGGGCTTTCGTTTCGTTTCGTTTCTCCCTCCGCAAAACCTAGTTTCAAGGTTCAATCTGTGAGTTAGCCGTGCCCTGCTTATAACAGCCCAGAGGTTGTTCCAGGGTACCGAATATGTGAGTTAGCCGTGCCCTGACTTAGATCAGCCCCGATGTTGTTTCAGGGTTCCATCTGTGAGTTAGCCCTGCCCTGACTTAGATCAGCCCAGAGGTTGTTCCAGGGTACCGAATATGTGAGTTAGCCGTGCCCTGACTTAGATCAGCCCAGAGGTTGTTTCAGGGTTCCATCTGTGAGTTAGCCCTGCCCTGACTTAGATCAGCCCAGAGGTTGTTCCAGGGTACCGAATATGTGAGTTAGCCTTGCCCTGACTTAGATCAGCCCAGAGGGTGTTTCAGGGTTCCATCTGTGAGTTAGCCTTGCCCTGACTTAGATCAGCCCAGAGGGTGTTTCAGGGTTTGATCTGTGAGTTAGCCATGCCCTGACTTTGATCAGTCCAGAGGTTGTTCAGGGTTGTATAAAATTTTATGTTTCTTAATCTAAAGGTTGTGACAGTTTTTCGCAATTTCAGTTGACAAAGGAGACAATATTCYCTTAATTAAGTACTTTTCGCTCAAATTAAACTGGATGGAGTGATATTAGTCTCTTTTCCATATACATTGTCCATGTCGGTATGTTTTGCGATGAACAGACAATTGGATCAATTTGTTGGGATTTAAGAAAAAAACATGTCGCGAGACCCGCCAAAACGTGTGGGTTTGAGAGACTGCAAAAGACGGTGTTGGCCACTCGTCGTTGCCTCGGTAGATACTTAGCARACAATTAACATTCATAATCCTTTGCGTAATTAACAACCACAGGAACTCAAAAAACTCAGGAACAACCTCGTAACAAAAACTAAGAACACGAGTTTTAGTGGCTATTTTACTTTTTGCAGATGTGCATTTGGGATATTTTTTWAAAATCAAACCAATACATGAATAGAATATACAATATACCAATACAGAAATGCAATTTCTGCTTATTCACTTGGATCAGGGAAGAGATCAGGGACGTGATTGTATTATCTATATGYCTCGAGTTCCTGGCATTATCTACTAGATGGCCTTCGTCATCAAAATAGCCCACTTTTCATCACATAAAAGATGAAAGTAAACAAACCTTCAAAGATCTAGAAAGACAATATATGACAAAACTTTTCTTACTTAAATGCGCCATATTTGTATGGAAACCAAGAAGAAATGTTGAATGGTTTTTTAACGAAGTTTTATGATAATAATAATAATAATAATAATAATGGCCATTCTTATATAGCGCATTACATAATCTCAATATACTTTACAATGATTATTTTCGGGGACTTGACGGACTGAKCTATTAGGGCGCAAATTGAAGCCCATGCAATTTACAATCATGGGTGTTTGTTAGAAACTGATGCCCCCAAGGCAAGGCTGTTGTACCGGGCGACGATCCCATGCTCTTTCACGAAGAATACAACATCCATATTATTCATATGCGGTTAGAGTGTGTAAGCAGACGGGACCTCCGGTATTTACGTCCTTTTCCGAGAAGACGTGAAGTTCTAACCATTTATAGATAGAGAAAGAAAGGCAGCAACTTCTAAGTTAAATTTAAAGACCCTGAGTGCTGGTCCTTTCGGGGTTCGAACCCGCGTCCAAATGAGCCAACCGGTTGTTGGTTTTATCTTATTTCGTTAAATATTTCTCCTTTCATTGAGGGTTTAGACTGACATTTTGTGAAGTCCTATATGTGCCTCAAAATTGGAGGTAGGATGGAACGTTAGCCTAAAAAAATAGAATTCCTTCTAGAAACTTTGCTTATCTCGTTTTGGTTTGATAAAGCCTGAGATGATGAAACATCAAGAAAACAAACAAACAAACGACGAAATAAACTAATARATAAAACAAGTTTGCTGCACTCGTTAACAATCTAAGTTATACATGAATACAAGTGTTTTAAATGACACCTTTTGATGTCCCTGTATGTACCATGGTGCAACCATGGATTGGAAAGCCACAGACAACGGGGTTATGAAGGAAAGTTTCCAAAAAGATGTACTATCAGAAAAACACAAAGTAAAGAAGAAGGAGAAGGAGAAGAAGAAGTAGTAGTAGAAGAAGAAGAAGAAGAAGAAGAAGAAGAAGGAAAAAGAAAACCAAGGAAAAGGAAAACCAAGGAAAATAGAAGACACCTCAGTATTCTGGTGTGCAATACTCGTAAAAACCCGATACTTCACTACAATGGCGAGGGCGTGACGCTTTAACCAACGGCKTCCAATGAACACGTATTGTATCATCATGGAATATGCTGTACGCATTAATACAATTGCGTTTATATCAGTATACATCTTGCAGGTAACATTGAACATTGCGTACAAAAGTTGCGGAGATGGACACATGATGCAGTTCCACCTGTCGTATTGACTGATGCATGGATGATTCGCAATATTGTGCCTAATTACTGCACCGTTCCTATACTTAAGTAGCCATTAAATTTAATTGTCTACAACCAAAACATACCGGTGCATGTCATTTCGTTTATAAATCAGTGACTGACAATAAWTAGATATTGCTTTGAATATTTGAAGTGCTTGCTAATTAAGGTTACCTGTCTTGGTAAACTTTTTTTCACCAGTCGCTGGAGAAACCATGGAATAGGTACAAAATTTAAAGCCTTACTTTCATGTTAAACCAACGGAAAGTTCTCTCAAAGATTCCGAGAGCCTAARAAGTGATTCTTTATACAAGACCCAAGGTGTCGTCTGTGAATCCCTGGCCAAAGAATAGACCTTCAAACCGACAAAACTAAGTAAATCCAACCTTTAAAACATCAGAACAAAAGCGACTTACTATTACAAGACTCTCACAAGCAATTAACAAAAAATCTATCTAAAAAAACCTGGGCTCCCACGTGTGTGACCTGTTCTGGGATGATTAGTATCAGTCTGACAACAAGGATAAAGTGGAAATGAATTTCTCATTTGTACTGACAAAAAATATACTCTAACTTTGTGTTTGTTTTTGTCAATTTTAATTTCTATTTGCACGTCGTAGTTTTCAATAGAAAAAATCCTCAATTGTCTTAGCTTTTTATTCTTAATCCTACTTGAATAGTGAGTCTACTTTGAGTGATCCTTTAGAACAGATCTATAAGCCGATGCATTAGAGCTTTTATTAAAACGTTAGATTAAATAGAACAAGTTTTCAAAGACAAAAAAAGTTTTTCCAATCGTCTCTAGATTTTGATTAAAAGCGAGTGCTTTGAAAAGAAMACGTTTTTCTCGTTTAAACAAAAAATATATTTTAAGCTATTTATAACTCATAGACAGTTTAAAATAGTAGGAATACATAGATATCATATCTGTAAACACATGGACTTATCTATTGTTGCGAGTTTTAACCATTTTCAATGTTGTACAACTAAGCTATACTGACGAGTTTTCAGTCATTTATTCCGTCATGTTGCAACTCCAACTTGAACGCTCCATGGGAAATTTCCACTTAGCTTCCAATGTTTTGTTCTTTTATTGAGCATTCGTGAAAAAAATTCCAATTCACTGTAAAGTGTTGTGCAGACCCCTAGCTTTTGCAAACTGAGTTATGCATCTTCTCTTGTCGACCCACAAAAGGTGAAGAAACAAATGAATGATTWTATTCAAATACGTCATTCTACCATAGAACAAGGTATAAATGATTCATCGCATCTAAACGATGCAACRCGACAATTTGATATAAATGCCATTGCACATAAATTGCTTTTGATCTAAACTAGCTGCATTAAAATGCCTTCTGATGAYATTGCATTCAAATGGAGTGCACACATGCACACACTCACGGCAGACCCACCCCCCGACTTCAGAGGTGAGAGTAGAGTGTGTGCACTTCTGCAGTTACTACRATGAAAGCTTATTTTGTCGTAGCTTGATTTGAGTTACGTATGAAACGAAATCTAATCCCCCACTTTAAATGTGCTCGGGTCTCCCTCGAGTTCTATAGACGGGGTTGGATTTTTGGATTCGTGTGAATGTGAATAGAGTTTATTAGTAGGCCTCTCCCTTAATTCAAAGATCATTGTTCGGGTTCTCCAGTTTTCCTCCCTCCACAAARACCAATTCAATTCGTTCATYCCCTTTTTAATCTGAGTTARCCATGCYCTGACTTAGATCGGCCRAGAGGTTATCAGCGTTYAATCTGTGAGTTAGCCATRCACTGACTTAGATCAGCCAAGAGGTTGTCAGCGTTCAATCTGTGAGTTAGCCGTGCCCTGACTTAGATCAACCCAGAGGTTGTTTCAGGGTTTGATCTGTGAGTTAGCCATGCCCTGACTTAGATCAGCCCAGAGGGTGTTTCATTGTTCAATCTGTGAGTTAGCCGTGCCCTGACTTAGATCAACCCAGAGGTTGTTTCAGGGTTCAATCTGTGAGTTAGCCATGCCCTGACTTAGATCAGCCATGAGTTTGTTTCTGCAGGATTTGATAAAATTGTCATGTTGATATAAACAGTTCCGTAAACATAAACCCCCCTACTTTAAACAGGATAAAATAAAGTAAACATATCGTTATAAAYCAAAATGTTAGCCAGATAGAGTTTCATTAGTACTGAGTATTATATTCATTATTCATAAATTGCAATCTCTATTTCTATTGTTTGCAGTAAAGCGAACACCTTGTTTTCTAATTAAAAAATCTAATTCAATTCAATCTAAAAGCCTCGATCGATACACTTCGATGACTATTGTCGGTTTTTTAACTTACATTATTCGAGGAGTTTTTCTCCGCGGGGTTCTCAGGTTTTTAGTCCTCCTTCCGCAAAACCTATAACAAGCTAATCTCAATTCAATCTGTGAGTTAGCCGTGCCTTGTTAGTCTAAAAGGTTGTTTCAAAGTTCATTAAGATTCGAAAGAATGCATAATGTAGGATGAGCTCACAAAAATGGTCCATATCCTGTTTGTGGCTGTTATTAGAAAACCATTCAACAATGCTGTGTAAATTGTTCATTGATGAGCTGCAAAGCCAAGTGTTTGAGTAAACGTTTTCAAATTCAAGGAAAAGCTATCGGAGTACTGAGATTCCTTTTCAATGTATCATCAAACTGAACAAAATCAATTCCGTTTATTCGGAAACCCTTTTACTGCACAACCGTGAAGCCTTTCGATGTTTCAGTCGGATACAAACATTTTGCAGTGTATTTGAAAACCCAACTAAGTGTACTATAGGAAACCATTGCAGTGCAACTTTAGGAAACCTTTCCTATGCACGAGAAAACCAGTGAAATGTAATAGTAAACCCTTGCAGTGCTTTAGTTGAAACCGCTTTAAAAGGAAGAGAAAATTTTGCATTCAGATCATTTTTTATGAAATGAGTTCATAATACTTAATATAATTCAGCTTGTACCACTTGGGGTTTAACCGTACCGCAGCCCTCCTACAGCGAGAACATTTTGCCTTTTACAATTAATATATCCATGACATTTCATAAAAATGTTTCGGTTTCATTCAAACTGACTTGGCAATTAATAAAGGTTGAAGATAGGATATCATAGCACCCCACCTTGTCAGAAACTATAAACAACAGCGCTTAATGGTCCGAAGCCCATCTASCAATTTTGTTGATTGCTCTAGTTGACGCCCACCTCCCTGGCTATTTCAATTGCCTTTTTAAAATTACTTATGATTTTAGCATATTTACACGTGTTCTGGGGGCTTTTATGTTAGAGGACTTCATGTAGCGGTGACACACGGCGGGGCGGGCCCCCCTCATGTGCACTGCTTGATAGAGAGCTACTAAAGGATCGTACGTACGATATGAATAACGCGCGCTTTTATTTCTCAGTGGGAAAGTTTGCAAGAATAGCCGCGATCATCTGATCATATTGTGCCTGGTGCGACTGCGCACAGGGTATGGAAACCAAGATGAATTTTTGCATCTTGTTAACGGGAACATGAATTTGTCTTTGCTGATAAAATTTTTCCATGAAAACAGAAAACTTTACAAGCGAAACTGTTTTTAAATTGGCACGTGTTTTTATGCTATAGGACCTGGACTATCAAATGGTTTACGTACTATGAAATGCCTTCGCTGTTTTCTCTCAAAGGYTTCCGCTAGTCACTTTATTCCTTTTGTTGTTAGGTTTAGATGAAAAGCCATTTGAGTGCCACCATAGTTAATAGAGGCCCTTTCTCGACGCCCTTTTATACAGCTTATCATCGGTATCATAAACAATCGACTTTTTCACGCACCACGGGATAAAATAAATCCTAAGTAAAAATAATGATAGATATATCTTTTTTCAAAAGATTTCGGAAACCATTTGAGTGCAAAAACAATTGGGAAGCCATTTAATTGCAGCTCGTTCGCACGTGCTTTCAAATTAATTTAAGTAACGGATTGGCTACTTTATTGCTAAGATCAAAAGCGTTAATGTTTTCTCGAGCTGTTGACATTTMAGCTCATCACTAACAGACAGTTCTCAGGAGTTTATTGGTGAACAAAAGAATCGACAWTACCAAGTTATAGTCAGTTTCCATCACTATCTTTTTTTTTATAGTGTTTACTGACTCATATAATTGTCAACTCTTGATCTCCTCTTCAACACATGGCGTTTTAGCAACCTTCAACCCCCCTCCTTTTCTTTATCCAGGCATATACTCCTGTCACCAGTGCAATGAATTAAATTTCCCTTGAAATATATGAGATTTTTTGAGAAGCGGAAAACAACCTACAAATGGCTTTCCGTTTTCAAGCATTYTGATTTGCTGGTGAGCATTTTTTACACTTTTTGATTGGTTCGCAGTGGAAAGCCATTTTAGTGTCAAAAAATGATATTTCGTTGTTTTTATCCCGGCTTTATCATWAAAAAAACTTTGGTAAGCTTGGATTTGATTTGATTTTCAATTTGAAAAGTCACTTTTCTTTGTGAAACCAAGGATCAAAAATCTAATAAAAATAAATAAACAAATAAAAAATAAAAAATCGATTAGAAATGTCTATATTTCTCTCCCGCATAAATTCTCCTCATACTGATCTGTTGTTACAGTACGTTATTTACTCTTCAATCSTCGCTTACACTTTCCCACCATTGTTTGGTGTCACTGCTCATRCAAACAGTCGTCAAAAACCAACTCCTGATCAAAAAGGGAACGAACAAAGATATTATATTGCTTAGTGAATTGTTCCTTTGTTAATGAGTCAGACTAATAAACGTGTGCGAATTAAGGAGCTGCCACTCATTGTCTTAGTGAAATCAATCGAGAAATATCAGACGACTTTTTTTTGGGAAAAAATCCCTACTGAGGAAGTCTGAGTCATTTTGACTTTTTTTACGTGTGCAAAATATATTAATAAAAAAAAAAAAATGCGTAGGATACACAAAGTATCGAGTGGAATTCTGTCTTTTAAAAGTACAAATAAGGAAGCCTTTCTAATGTCATTTACAAGCATTTGAAAGGCTTTCTACAGGTCATATTGATGCTGTTAATATTGGTTGGAAGCCTTTTTAGCGTTTCTCAAAAACACCGGATTGGTTTTAATGTGGCCTATGGAGTTCAAAAAACTTAATAATGTCACTTTTAAAAATGCACTTGAAAGGGATCTCTACGTCATTTAAACGCGAGTTCGGAACTATTCGGAAAAATTAGGACAAAAAGACCTTTTCAACGTAATTTATATGGTCTATATTGTCTTTCAAAAATATTGAAATTATCTGTTTTTTCAAGAGAGTTTCCACATGGCAAAWATGCCGACTCCTCAACCAGCCCCATGATTCAGCGCGCGTCATACTCGTTACCAGTTTTCCACGCAACCTTGGAAAGGCCAATAGACTMATTTTGTTACCCTACCATCATTAACTTTACATTTCCTCGGAATTAATATTTGTTTCATATTAAATAAGCTCTTTATGTGCTTAGTCTTGTGTCGAAACTTTAATTTACTTGAATTAAATGTACCACTTACACAAATATATATGCGATTCGATTTCTTTTACTCTTTTAACTTACACAGGGTAATGTTTAGAACTATCTACAGCCTTTTCTAATTCTACAAACCATTTAAAYGGTTTATCACAACTTGAATGGTTTTTGTTTTTGTCCATTTTCCTGGAAGAATATTTTACATCTTAAGTTTAACTTTAAATTTCAGTTTTAGAAGASAGTGGTCGCCTGTCCATACCGGTCATGAGTTGGCCGTATTATTCATACCGTCCCGGCAGTTTCTAGAGACCTTTATCAAATTCGTAAAAATTTCCGATGTTCTATGTAACTAGGAATTCATTTACCGACGCAAGGTTAGCCTCGTTTTATCGTAGAACATTAATGTGTTGGAATATTGTGGATGTCTGTTGAATTTCAAATTCAGTGTTTGTGTCGCGGTTGTGCCTTCTTTACTTTACCTTTGGCATTTCAATATTTTGACATTGATTCGAGGCTAACCCTGAGTAAATGAATCTGTAGACAAGGAACACAGCGGTATTTTAYAAACTTTCGAAAAAGGTCTGTTTGAGTGATAGGCCATAGGCCAATATCTAACTACGGTCTAAATATTTATCACCTCTTAAATGTCGGCTACAACTCGTTTGCTTTGACTGAGAGAATTTCCCCTTTTTTATAGAAACTTGGATTAACTACCACACGTCATTTTTGGTGCCACATGTTTACCATGGCAACAGTGACGTCAACCATTGYGATGCTTTTCCTTGTGAATAMTTCAAAGTGGCKTCATTGTTAATCACAGCAAYCATTAAGTTGACGTCAGCGAAGATGGAGAGCAATGACGTCAAAGAAGTTATAATGRTGATGTCACGGTCAAAGATGACGTCATCTRATGACGAAACGACGGTGTTGGTCTGACTTCAGGACGGTAAACTGGCTCGTCTGGACGACATTCTTCCAGCGGGATGAAACAACTGTTTAACAGAGTTCAAGAAACCGTTATGTGGACCAGCAGGTGACGCCTGACTCTTCTTAGATTCTCTATTCGATGCTTTAGTGAACCTTACTTGGAACACCATGTTATAGAACACTACGTGAACATTACGATTCGTGAGGGCGGACGTCTCGTAGTGAGAACAGCCGTACTCTGAAGCCACTTCGCGGGCCTCGTTCTTCGACACTGATCGTCCTCTTCTTGAATCTCGTTTGTTCCCAACCAGGACAATAGGTACCTGGCAAATGTCATCGGTTCGTCGCACTTCTTTGATCAGCTTGATCAACTGGCGCGCTACTTCGAAGCTATAATAGTCTGTTATSGAGTATACAACGATGAAACCGTCACCTTCTTGAATGTACGATGCTTGACCCTGGGAGGGAAATCAACCATATGTTATAAAACCATTTTGTGCATGCTCGAAATTCAATGGCAACCGTTGCCTTTTCCAAAAACTACGTGCCTTTAGGTCTCTTCCAAGACTTATCTTGATGGATGTGTCTGTATTTCATCTCGATTCTTTTACGGCTTCTGAACTAAACTTATTTATAACTAAATATTCTAGTTTTTATGCATTATACTTACATTTCCAGCGGTATCTAAAATAGCTAAAGACACTGAGTTTTCTCCAATGTGTAATTCTTTTTCATATGTCATTTCTGGAAAAGAAAAAATAGAATAATTTAGACACAAAATTTAAAACCTTTTACTAGAATTTTTTCAATCACCTCACATGACAATGACAATAATTTATTTAGTACTAAGACTTGTTGCAGATTTGGAAACTTATCTAAGTAYATGCTAACATATTTTGAATATCTTATTCCAAAAATTTTACTTCCTGAGTTCTTTGCTCTGGTGTTTAATTAATGTACAATTCTTTTCGTAGCCGTACTGTATCCCAACTGTATCCGTACTGTAGCCGTCATATATAAATACGCCGTTGTGATTGGATAACTGAATACTTGGAAAACAATAAGAAGATATTTAAATGTTACGATATGTACGACATTATTACGACATTACYTCGACATATATATCGCACGCGATTATCGTTGACTTATCCCTACGACAAACTAACGACTACGTACGTGACACTTGGAATATATCGTGATCTTGGCTATGGCTTTCTCGCAGTATTAATCAGATTAACGCTAAGTAAGGTCGTTTGTCTAAGAAGGGTCGTGCGCAACAGACTTCAACTCTCCTGAGGGCTAACATCTGTGTCTTATAGTTGTGTGATAATGATTCAACCGCCGAGTAAATCTGAAGTAGAAATCTGAGACCGAAAGGAATTGTGGGTTGTTAGTTGTAAATTGTTTGTGGTTTTAATAAGAATTTCGCAAAAAGTTAATATCTTGATATACTAACTTTGAGCGATGACCTGCGCTGGCAAACTATCTTGGTAAGTGTATATTAATTTTTTAACGAGAAAACACTCGGTCCCCCCCAATTCCAATCGGTCTCAGATTTCTGATTTCAGATATCCAACCGACAACGATTTTTGAAATAGGTGTGTATATATCTGGTGGGATGGCTTTGTTCATATTAACCTTCGTAACTTAAAGACGCATTACTCAAATCGAGAAATATATTACGATTGAACTATTTATTTCTTGTAGCATCATTACTGAAATTATCGCCGAAGGGTTCATGTGCAATTAAATGGTCGAGAGGTGTATAGTGATTTGAGATAACCTAGCTTGTAGAGAACTGCTGAGAACTGAATTAAAAACGCCGGACAGGTTATTTTAGTTTATTATGAACTAATGATACCTAATAATACAACAGAATTTAGAAACAGATTAAGACCATAAGCTTGTATCATTTTTCCTTCTTAATCTTTCAGACCAATAACGATAGCCTTCCACTCCCGGGTCAATGTGCGGTTTATATCACATCAACCACAGTCCGTAATTCCCACTAACGTATTAAAAATGAACACCTAAGGACAAGATCGAGACGCTAACACTTGAATATCGCTGGATAACACTGTTATCTCTAGTGTTCATTGTATCTACTATCTCTCATCTTAGAAAACCCTTGCGAAAACGACGTAAATTTAGACGTATTTAGATTTTGTACACGATCATTGCATTTTAATAGTACATTCATAAACAAGAAACAAAATAACTTGGGAGTTTTGAGCGATAGGATTTTGAAAACAGATTGTTAACGATTCTTAGGCAAGCTTCAGTAGAATATTTTTATGTTTTTGGGCAAGCGCATTGTGCGCTTTTCGTTCGTACCYCTGAGGTCCCAGTTTCTATTCTTGGACTTTGCATCTCATGTTAGTAGATTAGTTTATTAGGTCTCTHCCWTGATTCGAGGGGTTTTCTTCGGGTTCTCCGGTTTTCCTCCCTCCGCAAAACGTAACACGTTTGTAACGTAACACAATGTTGTTTTAGGATATCATGAATACAAATTTGAATGAGAATCGGAAGAGGAAGATTGGGACGGTTCCTGTGTTATCTTCCCAATCGACAGGAAGGTAATGCAATGAATATTTCTGTCACATGCGCACCCTTGTCAGTCGGCTCTGTTCGATAGCACATGTAAACTGGAAKTGGTCACAGACCGATTTTCTCACAATTTTTTCGAAGCTGTTTAAAACACATAAAGAAAGTCGGAGAATACATGWGTTAAAAATAGGACCTACTCAGGCGGTATTCTGGAAATAGTCCGCGACCCGACCATAAAATAAAACTGATTGTATCTATAGCCTTAAATGAAAAGTCTTACAGATTTTATTTTGGACTCTAAGCTGTTTAAACTGAACGCAAAGAGAGTCAAAGATAAATTGTGTAAAAAAACCCAAACAAACAACAACAACAACAACAACAAACAAAAACAAAAACAAAAAAACACAAAAAACACA